TGACGATAATCACAATCCATACTTATCCTGTAGCTTCTTGAGAAAGACGCCTCAAATCAGCTGCCATCCGATTGGAAAATTCAAGTCGTGGTTAAGCTGAGGTATGTAAAGTTGAGATAGCCATTGCACATGCACATGTGACATCTTCCTTGAGCAGGAGTAGTGCAGCGTTTGCAGGTGCAGGGAAACCCATCAGGTAATGTGCATCAGGTGAAGATACCCCCATCCTATGTCTAGTGTGTATGACAAGTACAAATGTGACTTGAAACACCCTGCTGCATTTCAAACCGCTAATGTGTACATACTCTAAATATGATTATCTGGGCTGTATCATTTTACAGAGCTGGTGTGGAGTTTGTGGGACTGAATGCTCCTCCTGACAAAACAATTAAAATAAAATAAAAATCCCTCTGTATAGAAAACTACCATACCTGGGAGAAAGGGCTTAATAGAGCTGTCTTTCCGACTTGCTATTTTTTTTTATGTGGTTTCTTTTTATTTTTTCTTTGTTTGCATGGAGGAGCATTAATAAATATCCCTCCGCCCCCGCCCCCCCCAATCAAGTACACTCTAGAGCAGGGGTCAGGAACCTGTGGGCCTCCAGATGTTGCTGAACTACATCTCCCATCATTCTTGACTATTGACTATAGGGTATGAAAATAACATGTTTCAGAAAATAACAATTATATTTTAAAAATCATTCAGTGTAGATTTTGATGAGGCTTGTGTGTGTTCTTCTCTTAGCTGACATTCTGAATGAAGAAGCTTCCCAGGGAATTTCATCAGGTATTACTCGGGTGTATTCAGTAGCTTTCTCTGTAGAAATTGCCATGACAACACTGATGCAAGAAATATTCCTACAGGAACCCAACTGTGACAACCAATAGCTTGAAAACATTTTCGTTTTGTTAGATCTTTCATTAGGTTAATAAAGTGACCCTGCAGAGATAATGCAGCAAGTATTCAAAGTGCCCGTTTTACCAGGAAATGAAAATTAAATGTATATGCAGAATATTTTGCCGGAAAGCTCTTGAGTGAAATCTAAGCCTAAACCTTAGTTTTTAAATCCAGTATTAAGAAAAGAATACAAAGCAAAAATACCAGGCTCTAGGTAAGCCGTACCGCCTAAGTATTTGAAATGGCTAGACTATTTGGATTAACTCTGTGATAGTAAAAATTAGAGCTATTTTCCCTGCTTAGCACTGGCATGAAGGTAAAAGGCAGTACAGGTGGCCCTCATAATGCAGGATAGGCACCACACAGTTGGAGCTTAAAGTGGGCTCAGCTAAGAGGTCCATTTTTGGTAATTGTTGAATGATCGGATTGGAAAAATGAGTGGAGAAATGAACTAGTTGTTTCTTCTTGTTCAGCACAGGTCTCTGAACGTCAGAGTGAATGCAGACTGATTCTACCCATCCCTTTTGCCTGCTGTTGTTTTTTTGCCTGCTGATATCGAAACTGATATCAAAAGCTGATATCAAAACTTTCACAGGTGTTGTCTGTCCTGACTAGAATTTAATGTCCCCAAACTTCTAGGACAAAGATTCCCAAAGTGAGGTGGACAGCTCCTAGTACCAGTAAATTAATGCTTTGGCAAATTTCCCAGTTGGTGCAAGGCTGAGCCCTGAATCAATGTCAGTTTCAGAAGGAGGCTGAGTTTAAGTCAGAGGGGAGATTCATTCCTGGTATTGGTGGTTAACCTTGGTAAAACAGAGCTACCTTTTATGGATTGGATAATCAGAATATGAGTATATGCCTTTGAAGGATGATCAAGGTCAGGAAGTCGCTGGGCCTGACAGCAGCATAGCTAGCTGCTCGGGTGTCCGGTGTTGCACAAATGTCCTGCACTCAGGGGTGGGGCAAGCCGGGGCAGAGCACGTTGCATGGAACCTCCACGGAGTCCGCAAGCCCCACCTTGCCGTTTAGGGCAGCGCGGAGCCTGCAGGTGCCCAAGCCACTGCGTCACTCCCCAGGAGAGACATGTGGCTTGGGCGCACTGCAGGCCAGGCCCGTGGTCACCTCCCTCAGTGATGACACCCAGGGCAGTCCGCACCCACCACACACCCCTTCCTGCGCCACCAGGGCCTGATTGCCTGCCGGATGGATTTGATCATCTTAGTATCCCATTAGATACTGTGTTTATCTTTTGTGTGTGTGTGCACGCTACTAATGACTATGAGTCACATCAAATCCAGGGTGACTCAAGAACACAGAGTGTACTGATTATGGTTTCCATGCCCACCCCCACCTGTGTACCCATCCACTGATTAAAATAATTCAGTTGGACTTTATTCCCCCTCCCCTGCAAAACCTCAATATCATGTTTTTTGTTTCAAAACAAAATAAAATCCACATAATTCTATGAAATTGACATTCTTGGAAATATGATTGTTCTATCTCTCTTGAATGGAAGCACTTAAATTGCTTTTAGATGGTAGATATAAATGATGTGTAATTCTGCCCTTCTCCACATACCCAAGTGCAAGGTGTTGCAAACTACAAGATCAGTTTGACTCATAGTCATTTGGAAACTATGAGATGACTCTAGTGTGTTCCTAAACTAGCCAACAAATCGTGCCTTTTTGGGATACTACCACCAGATGAGCACTTGACTATGTTACCAAGTCTGCATGTGCCCGTAATTGCACAATATACACTAACATGAGTGCTAGAATTATGGCAATAAATAAACTAGAAGTGTGGTCAAAGTATGTATTTGTTCAGATCCCTTTTTATCTGTTTCCTAAAACAATAAATTTGATTATTTCTTTACAGAATGTGCCAAATTGAAAGAAAGTTTGACAGGTTGTTCTAGGTCAAGTTTACATTGCAAAAGTGCGTGGTCGGCTCTTGGGAGTTGTCTAAGGAAAAGGAGTGCTAGATGCTGGTAATTCTAGAAGTTAATTGGAGTTGCGTCCTCTTGATTCATGCTGATAACAAGAGAATTGGTTGTGGTAGGAAAACAAGCCCCCCCCAAGTATAAGTATTTCTTTTTCCTCCACATGTAATAGACCACAATAAGCTAATAATGGAGGGCACAAGGAGAAGGGGACGACAGAGGGCGAGATGGTTGGACAGTGTTCTTGAAGTTACAAACATGAATCTGACCAAACTGCGGGAGGCAGTGGAAGACAGGAGTGCCTGGCGTGCTCTGGTCCCTGGGGTCACGAAGAGTCGGACATGACTAAACAACAACAAGCTAATCATTCCCCGCCCCCGCCCCTCCAGCCCAGTGGGACACAGGTTGATTTCACAGGCTTCAACACTTTGTTAATTAGTAATTGTGGTCTGTGAACGTGGTGTTAAGATTGTTTCCATTTCCTGTGAAGGTGGTTTATTTAGACAATGCAAACACAGTAACAGCAGAAGACAACTATCCTCATGATCTGTGAAGTGGTTTGCTCTGACTGAAACATCAAAGGAAATACAGCGTGTTAAAACTGGCAAAAATAGAAATCAGAGTAGTAAGACTGATCTCTAGAAAGATATCTCTGGCTATTTCCATACAGCCTAGAAAACGTAGCTTGCATAATTTTTTCAGGCTTAATTAGTTCGTGAAGATAACCTATAAACAATTACATGTTCCACTGCAAGGCTCCAAGCTTTTGACTCAGATGTTTGGAAGAATGCACAGCTCAGTTTCACATGTGCAGGGTCCAGATGGCCTGTTTCCTTTCCATTCTCTCTTCCAAGTACAGTCATACCTTGAAAGTCGAACGGAAATGTTTGGAAACCAAAGTGTCGCTTCTGTTATTGGCTGAAGGAAGCTCCTGCAGCCAATCGGAAGCTGTGGCAGCTCTGTTGGACATTCGGCTTCCAAAAATAGTTCACAAACCGGAGCAGTCACTTCTGGGTTTGCAGCATTCAGGAGCCAAAATGTTCGAGAACTAAGCTGTTCGAAAACCAAGGTACGGCTGTATTGAATTTCTTCGAAGTAGAGTTCTTGCAATTTTCAACCACTGGTATTCAGAGGTATACAGTGGAGATAGAACATAGCCATCATGGCTAGCAGCCATTGGTAGCCTATCCATTCATATTAAACCATTTTACCGTAAATAAAAGGAAATATCTCAGAAGTACAGTTAGTTAAAAGAAGGTAATAGGAGACGAAAATAGTTCATGTAAGAGAGGACTGGTTCTGTTTCTAAACCATTGTTCAGTGAGCTTTGGAGAGCCTCTGACTTGCACACATACCCTTCCGTCTTCAATGTGGCTGCGAGAAAGAGTTTGGAACGTTTCCACCTCCATCCAGCCCAGACACTGAGATCTAGCTCTGAGGGCCTTCTGGTGATTCCTTCATTGTGAGAGTTGAGGTTACAGGGAACCATGCAGAGGACCTTTTTGGTAGTTGTGCCCTCCCTGTGGAACGCCCTCCTATCAGATGTCAAACAGATAAACAGCTATGTGATTTCTAAAAGACATCTGAAGGCAGCCCTTGACGGCAGTTCAGGGAAGTTTTTAATGTTTGATGTTTTATTGTGTTTTTACTATTTTTGTTGGGAGCCGCCCAGAGAGGCTGGGGCAACCCAGTCAAATGGGTGACAAGCAAGCAAGCAAATCCCTTTCTGCTTTAGATTACCTACAGATTACTGTGTTGTCTGATTCTGGACAAATGTGATCAATCATAAATATGGTTAGTTAAAATAATCCAACTTCAAACCATAGTTAATAATAATAATTATTTCATTTCATTTCATTTCATTTCATTTCATTTCATTTCTACCCCACCTATCTGAACTTGGCTTGTTTCAACTAATTGAGGTTAATCTTAACCACACTTTGACCTGATTTGGATGACACAGGATGTTGCAGCAACTCTAAAACGGAAGTGGAAGCTTTTGATATACTCATTCTTATAATGCTAAACCAAGGTTTAGTGTTCCATTGCAAATCGTGCCTGGAGAAAGCACTGAAGTATTGTTCTCCAGCCCATTTTGATAAGGGACTGTTGACACCTAAAAATGCAGGAAACAAATGCTTTCTTTTGTTTCATCTTGCAGGCCTAAACAGCAGCAGCAGAACAACTTTTCCTTGTTTACTTCCACCAAAGGCTGGAATTTCAGAGGGGTAAGGGATTTTGTTTTAGATGATTGATTTGTTTTTGTATTTTTCTTTCTTACACTCTTATTTCCACCCACCAGAATGTAATTTATAATGCAAACTGAGGTATGATGAAGTAATTAATATTATGCAGAGTCAGACCTTTAAAGGCCCCTGAAGATACAACTTCAGAAACAATTGCTTAACTTGTACTTTTGTCAGGGAGCCAATAAATTATTGTGTACTGTATGGCACCTTCATAAGAGGTTATATTTACGCTGGCTGAATTGTTTTAATGTAATAAAATTCTCAGAGAATAAAGGAATTTATCATCTTCTGTAGGCATTCTTGGTTATCTAGACCCATTCCAATCTGGGTTCAGCCTTGGCCATTGGTCCTAGCTTGTCTTGGTCACTTTGAGCTTTATTGAGAGCAGGACAATAGGATGCAACTTTGCTCCTGCTTCTCTGTCTCTTTGCAGCTTTCAATACCATTGGCCATGGTATCTCATTGACTGGTTCCGTGGGATGAGAACTGGGGAAACTATGCTACATCGGTTCCTGTCCTGCCTATGTGGCAGAATCCAGAGAGCAGCATTGGGAGAGGTCCTATTTTATGCCAGACATTATTTGATATCTATATGAAGCTGTTGGGAGTGTTCTTTAGGCAACGTCCATAACATCTGAGTTGGGAGAGGTTGTGCTATGCCCTGGACCAGTGTATGGATGGTGGCAAGTAAGCTTCAACTGAATTCTGGCAAGACAGAGGTACCGTCAGTGGTTCCCATATCCATGAAATTGGCCAATTGCCTGTCCTGGGTAGGAACTCTGAAGGAGTAGGAACACAGTCTGGGGATGCTTCTATATCCAGCTTCATTGCTGGAAGCCCAGCTAGCCTCAGTGGCTAGGAGTGTCTTCTGTCAACTTCAGACTAGGATAATTTGCCCACAGCAGTTTAGGCACTGGTGATTTCAAGATTGGATTGCTGCAACACACTCTATGTGGGGTGGATCTGTGCTAGATCTGGGGTGGGGTGGACCTTGTGCTGGATCTGGAAACTGCCAAGAGTGCAGAGTGCTACTGGATCACAGCTGACAGGGGTGTTAAAATATCTGCAACAGTTGACAGTTTGTTGCCAGACCAAATTCAAGGTTTTACTATTAGTATTGTTACGGAAAAATCCCGGGCGTGGAATTCCAAGCCACCCGGTGCGTCGGACTGAGTCCGCGGGTCCTAGCGGAGAAAATAAGCTCAGCCGGAAACAGGAGCAAGATGCGGAGATCCGAGTTTATTGCGCAACAGGTTCAAGACGAGATTGAACCCCGAGAATGGGGCGACATAAACTTTTAAAAGTTCCCTCCAAGTCCCAGAATACAGTGCACGAAACGTCATGAATACATTATGGGAAGGTTGGGTTTCATGGATTACATCACGAATATTTTACACACGTCATGAATATATTTACAGAGAGGTGGGGTTACACTGATTAGCATTTGAGACAAGGGAGGGGGAATGTGCAGAGTGATGGATATACATAAGTAAACATTTCTTGAGTACCGGTGGTGGCTGGACAAAGGGACAGTGATATGCATCGTCTGCCACCTGGTATTGCCCGGAGGAAGGGTTAGGCAGGACGATCTGACAGGATTAAGAAGTTCCTGTGTACGTGCCCTGCCGCTTGAGGGATTATGGAGGTCAGGGTGTCATCATGGAGTCCAAAGGGAGCTGGGTTGAATGACACTGAAAGCAAGGAATTCGGAGCTATGGTTGATTTTATATGATTTTCGGAAGGTTCTGAAGGTTCCCAACCTGTTCCGTAGCCCCGGTCAAAGTTGGATACATTGTAACAAGGTTTTGACAGGTTTACGAGCAAAATGGATACATTGTAACAAGGTTTTGACAGGTTTACGAGCAAAATGGATACATTGTAACAAGGTTTTGATTGGATTAGGAGGTCAGAAGTTTCGGTTCGATTGTTCTCGCTGTGGGGCCGTCAGTAGCTTGTCAGCAGCTTTAATGAGGCGTGCAAGAGCTCGCTGAGCTGCCTTAGCTAGTTCTTGCAGGATGGATGCATGGCTGTGATTGGCTAAGGCGCAGCTCAGTATTTTGAATGGGGACGTAGTATGATCCGGTCAACTCGCTTTAGGAATAGGGCAAGAGGGAGGCATAGGAAGAGATTGAGACAGGAAAGAGCCTTTTATTAGTAAGGCAGGGGTATAGTGTGGTGCTTGTGCAACGATGTGGGGGCTGAGGGTTCCAGGAAGGATTGGGCACTGTAGAGGTCATCGCCTCGGGCCCCTTCAGGTAGCGATGGAGGGAAATGGTTGCCCCCCCCCTTCCTCCTTCCGTATCAGTCCCCCATTCGGAGATAGATTTGCATTAAAGTTCTGTTAGAACTTGCAAATCCTTTCTCCGCACCCTATACCCCTGTGATTTCATACTCCCCTTCCCCCAGGTGTCTCATTTGCACGTATTCGGGGAAGACCGGAGCGTTATGGGAGCGGGAATAGGCTCGAAGGGGAAAAGGAGCAGATTGAGTCGGGAGGCGGAGGAGAGAGCAGCAAGGGGAGACACAATGTATGGCACAGCAGAGGACAGAAATGCAAAAGGCAACCGTAAGAGTTGTGAGTAATATGACCTTAATCAATTGTCGGAGCCACTCCAGCTTTGGTAGCCATCCCCACAAGTCAACATCAGACAGTCCCTCGTGTTGTATGTCATGTAACCTCCCTGCTAACTCATGGATGTTGTTCAAGTGTCCCGTAATGTTTAGAGACTGGTCCGTTACGTAGGTGCAACACTCGGTACCTATTAGAGCGCAGGTTCCTCCTTGGCTGGACAGTAGAAAGTCCGTAGCGATCCTCGTCTGTAAACTCAGCTGTCTCACCTCAGACAGTTCCGACATCAGGGAGTCCGTGATCTCGGTTGCCTCCTGCATGAACTTGAGGAGGATATCGGTGAGCCGGAGGATGTCGACGTGGTTGGATCCTGCCCCGTAGGCAGGAAAGAGTGCTCGACCCACGGTCTCTCCGTTGGCAGCAACATCGGATAAGTCAGACAGTTGTTTTTCCCTCCCGTTTATTCCTCTGCCTCCCAGGGGGCAGGTGTGGTACTATCCTTATGCCGGGAACGATGTACCCGACGAAACAGGACCCGGACATATGGGGGCTCACCCAGGTATATGCACGATGACCGCATACCCAGAACAAACCACTGAGGTATGACTCCATTCTTCCTGAGGCGAAGGCTTGCAGTAGCATGGCGTCGGTAGGTTGGGGCTGCCAGGTTGGAGGGTGGTCGATGACCGTGGCCCAAGCAAGGGTAAGGTTTGGAAAGGTCCGGGATCCCGTCATGTCCGTGATGGTAACATGGCCGGTGGTTAAAAGCTCTAAATTGGACGTACAGGTGCTGGAGCCGATGAAGGTGCCTTCCCCGGTGAAGGTGCGGCAAAGCGGACCCTTTGTCGGACCGGTGAGGTAAAGGTATTGGTGGGTCAAGTTCAACGCAGTCAGATTCCAGGAGGCGACATCCCCTGACCGGAACTGTTGTATGGTGACCGGGACCGGAACAAGGGGAAGGCTCTGTTGGAGGTGGCTGGGAGCATGGGCGCAGATCCAGCATTCAGGGTAGGGTGCCTCCTTGGCCACCTGGCCGAGGAGTTTAATGTAAGAGTTCTGTTCCCAGGAGGAAAGGAGATCCTCTCCTGGGGAGGAAGGGTCTGCGCCGAGTTTTCGTGGTGCTGTGCCGAGGGGATGAAGGGGGTCGGTGGTATTTAAGAGGCGCCTGTCTTTGGCTATGCCCCCACATCGTAAAGGTCCAACGTTATCCCACGTGGGGGAGCGTGAGGGATGTGCTGGATGGTACCAGCCCTCAAGGTATTCTGCTCCTCTCCAATCGTGGGTAATTCCGAGGTTCCAAAGGCAACAAAATTTCCTTAGACAAAGTCCTTGTAGTTGCGGCTTTCGGAGCTCCGGGGTCATGAGGAGACATTGGAACCCGAAAATCAGGTTGTCGGAGGGGCTCGTTGCGTCAGTGTAGGCTGGTGCGGCCCCCCCTTTCTCGATTTCGGTCCAATTTGGGCTCCTCAAGAGTTCCCCGTTGCCGAATAGGAAGTGGGTCCCGTTCTTGCAGGTGAGGCGGTAGTAGGAGTGGTCGAGGGTGACTGCGGCTGACCCAATTCGGTGTAGGGTTTGGTCTCGGATGAAAAGTTCCCAATACTCGTTGTCAGTTAGCTGGGGTACGAGGGAATGTCGTAGTAATGTCCGGGACTCGGGGAGGCAAAAGTCAAAGTCCCCCATTCGATTGGGGTTCGACTTCCCACCCGTCTCGAGTCGGTGATAGTCCAGGAAGTGGTAATCGGTGGGTAAGCCGGTGCAGTGATCAGTTGGCATGGCTGAGGAGGAGGTCAAAGTCGGGTAGGCAAGGAAAATGAAGAAGTTCATGGTTAGAGTCCGGGAAAGGCAAAGCATTGGAGAATAAGAAGGTCGGAAGGCTGTGGGAATGTGCTGTTAGAAGAACTGTCAAAGAAGCTGTCAAAAGCGCGCTGTCAGTGGAGTTGTCAAAGGAGCTGTCAAAGCGCGCTGTCAGTGGAGCTGTCAAAGGAGCTGTCAAAGCGCGCTGTCAGTGGAGCTGTCAAAGGAGCTGTCAAAGCGCGCTGTCAGTGGAGCTGTCAAAGGAGCTGTCAAAGCGCGCTGTCAGTGCGTTTCAAGCGTATTCGGATGGTATTGGGATCGGGGACGATCTCGGATGTCCAATTGGTTGAGGTGGGCTCTGGTCCGGTCTGTTGGGCCCGATTCTGGCCCCGATCTGGTCCGGTCTGTTGGGCCCGATTCTGGCCCCGATCTGGTCCGGTCTGTTGGGCCCGATTCTGACCCCGATCTGGTCCGGTCTGTTGGGCCCGATTCTGACCCCGATCTGGTCCGGTCTGTTGGGCCCGATTCTGACCCCGATCTGGTCCGGTCTGTTGGGCCCGATTCTGACCCCGATCTGGTCCGGTCTGTTGGTCGTCGTCGTCGTCAATGTACGAAG